TTGTTGATGGTGATGTTGTTGTTGGTTTTTTAAAAAAGTTTTTGTTGAGTTCTACCGCTTCAATACACATGTCAATTAGAATGTTCTTATATTCAACCTCAATTTGTGCGAATGTACCTGAGGATTTTCTACTTGTATGACATGAGAGTTTTAGGTTCAATGTCAGCTTTTTAGCTTTAGTAAGAGTTTTACGGCACTTGCAACACAATAAGGTCATATAAGTGCCGAAGATTAGAGGTGTTACAAGAGATTAACTAACACAAAAAAAGAAGGAGGAGAAATAAGGACGATATACTTATGTTTGATAGGAAAGAAGAAGCAAACCTCACCAGAGCACTCGCCAACCAACCACAGTCAACTTTGATGAAATAAATTTAGTATCAAACTGCTCAATGTCTGTAACAAAAAAATAATTGCGAAGGATGCTGACAAAATGAGTTACTTTTCGAATTCTGGTCTTATGGACACAGATAGGTTATATCAAAGTTATAGTTTGGGTTAATATAATTTTGCATAATTATGAAATGATAAAAGGCATTACACTGTAAGAAAAATTGATCAGTTTAAAATTTACAAATTTGATATATCTGTATTTTTGTCCTACATCTCCATTCGTGGATTGCGAGAAGTGTAACTCATTTTGTCAGCACGCCTCCCAATCATTATTCACCTCCTTCATTTGCCAATATCTCGACTTGTATTTAAGATAAATGGATTTTTTTTCATCCAAATAAAGACGAGTGAACAAACTTTAAGATGATATCAATAACTCTTCATGCCCAAAAATTGACGAGAGTCTGATTCCATCACGCTGCCTCACAAATACAGCTGAAGAACAGCATGAAAAGGAGAGGAACAAAGAAAAAACAATTAAAAAGGAACACAACAAAAGCGATTGGTTGCTGATGACCTTTTGATAGTTTCTGCTCCCTGCAGTAATCACTAAAGCGTTCTGCCTGACGCCGCTTTTAAACTCTGACCAAAGCCCGGGGTTGTGCTATTAAAGGAACATCAAGACGAGATCGACCAGTTTCAAAGACCTCGGTGCCAGTTTATTGTTACTTTCCGGTACCCCGCAAAGATTCCAGACACATTGGATTGGTCTCACGAATGATAATTTAGATCCAGAGAAAAAGGAGTTGAAAACACGGCAGGTTGACAATTGGCCTTTCGGAGTCAGAGTCGTGTGAAATCTTGTCTTTGTAATCTGACACTATGGCTAGACACAAATTATATCTGTGGTGTAGGAAATACTGAGCTGATCGGTGTGTATAATATTATCTATCTATCTATCTATCTATCTATCTATCTATCTATCTATCTATCTATCTAT